TCCATTCGCGTCATGTAATACCGGGTTTGGTACATGTGAAGCTAGTGAAACGGCCGCCAACGCGTCATGAGCGTGGCACGTAGTCATGTTGTTACATGACACACATGTCATGATTATCATGTTTGCAGATGTCACATACCTTAGTTATCCATTCACGTACCGTAATACCAAATTTGGTATATGGGATGCTGGCGAAACGGCCACGAGCGCATCATGAGCGTGGCATAAAGTCATGTTGTTACATGACACACATGTCATAATTTTCATGTAAGGGTCTGTCGCTTGTGTTTTCCATGCAATCATGCCATACCATACCAGTTTTGCATCATACCATGTGAACGAAACCACCACAAGAGCTGCAGAACCATGAAATGTAAATCATGACAATGATGACAGAGATGTCATGATTTTCATGTTATGACTGGTCAAATATGTTTTTCATGCAATCACATTATGCCGTACCAAGTTTGGTATCCATACCATTAACGAAACGGCCAGGAGATCTAAAAGTCGTAGGCGGATAGATAGATAGATAGATAGATAGATAGATAGATAGATAGATAGATAGATAGATAGATAGATAGATAGATAGATAGATAGATAGATAGATAGATAGATAGATAGATAGATATGCTCATATCGCCGAAGTTCGCTAAGAAATGCTTCGCATTCAAAAAGTTGTTAACGATTTAGAGTAATCGGTACTCTACTACGGGTGAGCTGAAAACCGTTCTTACGGCGTGGGTTTTATATTTGGAAAAAGTTGTTAATGATTTAGAGTACCTGGTACTCTACTATGGGAGAGCAAATAGCCGTCCCGTGGGCTCACACCAGGGAGGTAACGCCCAGCATGCACTAGATGGTCTGGACAGCGATTACGTAACGTACACCCGCTCGGTGTTCGCTCGTTCATGTACACATGTAATAGCCGCCACAGGATAACCACTAAGACCAAAGTTTGGCATCAAAAATTTTTTAAAGAAAAAGATTTTTTCACTTTGTGCAAATCCCTACGTTGGCTCCACACCGTGTCTCGCTGAGCACTTTTAATGCGGTAGCACGAAAAAAAGTGAAGCCTAACTAGAAAGTGTTTTATTTTGGTATTTGTTTCGCACCACGGGTACACCTTCGTGTGGTTTAGATGTATATGTATTCTTTTTGTAGAAGCATAGATGTGTAGCCTGCCGGTAAAGACACCCTCTTTCTGACCATAAGGGCACGAGTTTAAATGCCAGCCTGGGAAAGAAAAAAAAAATATTGTCTTATTTATCTATGCCGAAGACATTGTCGCTTTGAGCGGCCGCTTGCAGCCGCCCGCTGCGCTGAAAGCAGTGCAGTAGCTTGGCCGCAGGGCCTTACGGTGTCCGCTGTTTACGTAAGTGTGTTTGTCAACGCACTAATTAGATAGAGCGGTCATTAATTGTTGTCCGGGCACAATGACACCTTGTATTACCAAATATTTAGTAATAGACTTACCATTCAAGGCAGCACCACTCACCAACTAGGTAGTTAATTTCTCTAACCTGCCTTCACAAGTACTAAATGGCTAGTACTTTTTGTGACAAGTGAGCGGTTCTAGTTAGGTGAATAGGCTGATTTTTCTTTTCTAAGAGTGATGAATAACAGATAATATATCGTTATAAGGAAGGTGGCGTTCAGCAAATAGAAACTACAAAATAAAATGGAAAACGTCAATGGGGCAATGAAGGTATGGTAAACAAAAATAATGTCAAATAGTCTATGGCAATCGAATAGGCAGTGTTGTTGTCGCCATCGTCGTCGCTCAGAAAGCAAATATATCCATACCATATGAATGCGTAAGGATATTTCATGTTCCTTGCTCTTCTTTCTTACGTTCGTCAGAACGTAAGAAAGAAGAGCAAGAAACATGAAATACGCCGCAGCGATGGCACCCGGTCAAAGCGAGGTAAGGCCGCAACGAACCTAGAAGCGCGGGAAACAGAAAAAAAAAAAAGCGGTCCAAGTTCAAAAGCAGCGAAAATTATCTTTTCCCACTCTTGATAATATGTTTAGTTCTAGTAAGAAATGTTGCTCAAATAAAAGGCTGCTGGAAAAAAAAACACATTATTTTGGGAAGCGAAAACATGAACGAGAACAGATATTTACTATACTTCTTAAATGGGCCCTGAAATACTTTGTTGAGTAACCATGGAATTAATTCACTGGAAGTGCTTATTGCCTCACAAATTCAACGCTGGAAATAATTTAAGCACCCGTCCAGTACGAGCGGAGTTACAAAGATTTGTCACACGCTGCAATCGCATTCTCTCTTCTCTCGTGCCGACGAAAGCACTGGAAGCAAAGCAGGGAAGGATGGGAGGGGGCGCACAAAAAACGTCACGAGTGCCTCGTAACCTTGAGCGTTTTTTTTTTTTTTTTCGAATACGCGACTTTCTCAGTGCAATCACGCGCGCACGCGTCAACAAGTGGCGGCGTCCCGCGGCCATCTCTGTAACGACCGAGCGTGCCATGTTCAAATCAGCCAATGGCTGATAGATGGGTCGTCGACGAGTGATTTTTGGGCGTTTTCCGTCAGTTGTCGAGAGAATAGAAAGCAACCTTAAGCTGATTTTGATAAGTTATTGTGAATAAAAAGCCCCATGCTTCGCTATAACATTTGCCTCGCGTGTTCTCGGGAACCTCTACTATACCGATCAAGTGCGTTTTCTGACCATGCTCAAAAAGTGCTGCAGGGCCCCTTTAAATGTCCATTCGAGTGAATGCACGTTTTCCAGTGCATTATTGACGTTCTTTGTTGACTTTTACCCGGGTATATGTTCGACCTCAACAGTCAACTACTAAAACTCGATTGACAAACGCGGTGGAACGCCATGGGTCACTACGATAATCATGTTTCCAGAAAAAAAAAAAAACGCAAGTACCCCATCACCCCCCCCCCCAAAAAAATGTATATATATAGTACTGGCAACTCTGCTAGAGCGTGATACGCAGACGCAATGAAAAACAAAATGAGCTCCAGCCGCTTCAACGCATAGCATAATGCTGCTACAAAATAGCATGCGATTTGCAGCAAAGTTCACGCTTCTCTACAAAACACTCCCACAGAATACTCGACGATCTAGGTTTTCTATGGCGCAAGCGCCTGACGATATTATGTTTTTTATGAGCGCACCAGCATTTGGAGCCTTTGACAGAATGTTACGAATCCGCAATAAAAAATAAAAACATATATAGAGAAGATAATGACAAAAGCGAGTGATTGATATGATACATATGTGATGCGAGCATAAGTTTGTTTAGGACAGGAGCCAAACTGCTGAAATATTTATTCAAGGTTAATATAATGAGATCATTTAAAAAGCGAACTGCTTTTTGTCGGTGCGCGTCCTCAAAACGGCACATATACCCACTGCAGAACAGTGTTCTTAAGTGCGAAGCATTTCTTATAACCATAATGTACTGCGAAAAAAACGGATGGAAACACGAAGTATCGAGAAAAAGGTCAGACAAGCGCAGGCTATCAACTTAAGCTTTATTACAAGACCGAGACAATATATAAAGGAGAGGATCAAAAGCAAGGGAGGGCAAAGAGGGGGGAGAATAATACACGAGGGGTCAAATCAACAAAACCTAGGCGACATCGAGAATAGCACGCACGTCTTACAAAACCTAGAAAGCTCAACTCTTTATCATGTATGGCCACAGAGGGAACACTGACGCATGACTCAGAAATCTTGTGAATATGCGCAGCCTCAATAAGTTCGCGCACTCTTTGGTTTTTATGCCGAAATAACACAGAAGTATCATCAAAGAGCGGCACGCAGCCGCATACGCTACAGTGGGCTGCTAGATGAAGGCCGGAGTGGCCTTTCAGAGAATTAAAATGTTCTCTAAGTCTAACATTTAGACAGCGACCTGTCTGACCCACGTATGCACGATTGCATGACATGGATATGTAGTAGACAACACCGGTGATACGTGATACATTATTATTAATGTGAATAACATTGCATGTATCTTGCTGGACATATATCTCATTCGCGACTCCATCTACTTTGGCACATAAAGTGGATAACTTGTTTTTCGCAGAAATAATTACTGGGACGTCATATCTTGATGCCACCTTTTTTTAGGCAGTGGGTAAAACCGTGAACACATGGAAGAACAGCAAATAGCTTATGCTTGCAACATCCAAGTTGCAACGAACACCAGGGCCTCTTTTTATTTTCTTAGGCAACCTCTCGCATAACAAGCCATTCTTCTGGATTTCTTAGAAAACTGCAGGCATTTTGAGCATTTCTATCTATCTATCTATCTATCTATCTATCTATCTATCTATCTATCTATCTATCTATCTATCTATCTATCTATCTATCTATCTATCTATCTATCTACCTACCTACCTACCTACCTACCTACCTACCTACCTACCTACCTACCTACCTACCTACCTACCTACCTACCTACCTACCTACCTACCTACCTACCTATCTATCTATCTATCTATCTATCTATCTATCTATCTATCTATCTATCTATCTATCTATCTATCTATCTATCTATCTATCTATCTATCTATCTATCTATCTATCTATCTATCTATCTCTAGTCGCCAATGTCTGGGTGCTCACATTACAGTATTATTTTAGAAAGAGCCTACCACTCTTCCATACGTGCTTTTGATGACACCCGATCTACCTCGTAAGAAATGGGCACCTTAAAATATTTCGCATTCGTAATTATGATTCACACAGCTGTCTTTCAGTAGTAATACATTTTTCTCTTTCGTTTGAACTACCGCTATGTGTATTGGAGATACGGCTGCGCCAGTGCTCCTCGCACCACTCCAGTTCTTCACTCGAGCGCCTGCGTGCCGCGGGGAGACGCGACAGGCGCGGCGATCTGCGGCGGCAGCCGGCGTCGGCCCCGATCGCGCATGCGCCCGGGCCTGTGCGCTCGCTCTCGCCAGCGTTGCGACCGTAGCGCCGCCGCACCTCTACCTGGCCGCGTGCGCCATGATGACATCGGCGCCGGCCGACGCACTTGAGTTCCTCCGGCGGGCAACAACTCTCGCCGGTCTGCAGCAGGCAGCGAGCTGCCGCCGCACCACGCCACGCTGCTACAGGACCGCGCATAGAAGACCTCCCGCGATGAACGCGAACACCCAGGCGCTGCGGCGGCCGACGGAGCAGCGCCTCTAGGGACGACCAGAGACGACTTCGTTTTCGCGCGGTGGGCGCCCTGTGTGCGTGCGTGCGGATTATACAATAATTTGCCCCCCTTCCCCTTTTACACTCAGGCCCTCCTGTCTCGACGCGTCGGCTCCGTGACACCCAGTGGCTGACCTTGTTTTTCGGTTGTTTTTTCGTTTATTTGTGTCGCAATTTCGTCATTTTTTCCGCGTATCTGCGCGGCATCCCCCACTACTCCGACGCTGTCTGTCTCGCTGGATTTACTGTGCCTCCAGCCAACTTGCCACTCATCCTGTGTGCGCCGAAACTGGATACGCAAACTGAACGCGTGTGTGTGTGCGGCCTTTTAGAGTTCTGAACGAGATCTGCGTGGCTCGCGACTGCAGCTTTGTTATTTTTTTTTTTACGCCGATAACGGTAAGTCTCACCTTTCGCACTTTTTCATTGCGGCTTTTATTCCACTAGGAAAATCAGGCGTGGTTAAAGCAGGCGTGCCGAACATGTTTTGCGGGCTGAAAACAATTTGTCTCGCCGTCTCCCCTTAATCGTACTTTCGCACTCATCGACAAGTAAACACTCTGGTCCCGCAGGTAACTGCGGTAACCTTCCTAGCCAGCGTGTGTAGACCAACACTAGGCGACGCCTTGTTTATTGCCTTCCGTCTGGCCTGCTCCCATTTTCACTACTTGCTGGCGTGTGTTCCCTTTCGAGTCACGCTGGCGCGACACGCCTGCATGTGTGGATTGGCGCGCTAGCTAGCGGCTGCTAGCAGTGTTTGCAGCCGACCTTGAAAAATGAGCGTGTCGTCAAGGGCTGACTCGCCGGCTCCCTTTAAAAAAGAAAGAGAGAGAAAAGAAGTCGCCCCAGTCGGCTCTTCGGGAAGGGCGCCGTTTTCCATCACGTTTTATTTATTCGCCGAAAAGGCGCAGCCGTGTTATGTAGTAGACGGGATGGATCGCGTGCACCCCCTCTTTTCTATGCCTCCTGTGTTCTTTTCCTTGGGTGTCGACTCCAAGGTCGCCGCCTGTCCAGATGAATGAGCGGCTTGTCTGCAGAAAAAGGGAAGCCTACATCCTTTCACGCTACGTAGCACGTGCCCCAGAAAACATTGCGAGTGATCCGCGGTAGTTCTGGGTGCACGGACGTTTACAACTAGTGCTGAGCACCAAAAATTTGCGGCGCAATTTTTGAGAACTTTAACCGCGTTGCTCTCTCTCCCAGTTTCACTGCTGTCGCGCGTTTCCTTTCATAACATGCGATGTATGCTACTATAACTTTTTTTTTCCTCGTAATACTTGGCTGTCACGACGCAACCAACCCCTTGGCCGTTTATTAGGCGGCACGTAGTTGTGACATTAACCGACGTTGACATAATATGGACGCCGGGGAAACTAGCGACGGGAAAGAAAAAAAAAAAAGATGTGGGGGTCGGAGGGGAGGAAGCCGGATTAGATAGAGGCTTCCGTCGACCGCGGTCGCTCTCCAAGCTTAGTGGCGTGCTTCTCACATTTACATTTCTTTTCGCCACTCTCGCCTGAGCCGCGATTTTGGTGGTTTCGTTTTGTTTTTGCGCTACGTTTTTCTAGTTTTCGCTGTTTCCGTCGTCTTGGAGTTACGTAACTGCCGGATCGTGAGGGGGGGAGAGGCAAAAAAAAAAAAAGAACAAAAATTTGAAAGCGGCGAGAAGGCTCATTTCGGCCGTGATTTATTGCCCCGTAAAAAACTCGCCAGGCATTCTTTACTGGCGGGTAGGTCGCCTCTCCCGTAGATCCCAGTAGATGGTCCGTCCGTGTGTACACAGGTAGGGATTTGCGAAGCAGCGCTCTTTGCCGTGGGGCCGATCTGTTGGTGTGTGTGTGTCTGTGTCGTGGCTCTGAGCATAGGACAGCCTTCGTTGTTTCGTTTTCGCTCACGCTTTCTTTCCGGTCGGAAGTGCTGGGCGTGTTCTTGCCGGACCCCCCAGTTTGTTCGGCTGAAAAATCGCCGAGTGGCTCGTTTCGTACAGTTCTCCCGAGTAGCTTTTGTAAAGGGACGTCCTGGTACATTTAGACTTGGCTAACTCCGTCACTTTCCTTTTCGCACAAATAGGAACAGTGATGTGCGTCACGTGTGTGGCACGTATACACGTGTATATACTTCAGTTGAGTTATATATGGTTAGCGTATTACAGCAGGAAGTTCCAAAGTTACGGTACAATTGACGGGGGGACCTATTTTGTTTACATTATGGAGTAATTACCATACGGTGGTTTTGAGGGCGTTAAACCCGACATATCACACGATGGAGTAGTTACCGAAAATGCAGTAAATGAAAGTACACGGACGAGTGAACAATAATGAGTAAGTTTGATAAGGGTATCATTAAAATGTATGCTTGCCATGCTTACAATCACAGGTTTGACTTTTATTCTACTTTGAAAAAAGGCGGAACGGACGGGGGGGGGGGGTGGAAATAAAGTAAATCTGATCTCTGTCGGTGATCTATTACAACAACAAAAAAAAAGGGGGGGGGGAGTGGAGTGCATATACCAATGACATGACAGATGATTGCTGCAGCGTTTCGCCCCAATTGCTTCAGTAAATGCGAATGTGACCGTCATATTGACGAGATTTCGTTATAGAGCTCGGTTCGCAGAAATTCCGGCTTCGTTGGTTGTGAGCGAAAAATCATCATGTGCGAGACAGAAAAAAAATAAAAAAAATGCAAGTAAAATAAATTATAAAACATTCTCTGTCCTAATGGAGATCGAACCCCGGTTCGTTTGCGGTAAAAGGGTGTTCTACCACACAGTCACGCGTCTGCTTTTTTTTTTTTTGCGTTTTCCCCCTCTCTCCGTGGTATTTAATACAAACGCGGTTTACGGTACATACACAGCGTACATAATACTGAAGACCTCTTCGACGAATGTACCATAGGCATTACAAAAACAATCCCATACAACACTGTGTCTAAAAGGGCATTCGAGCAGCAGACAACTTCCCGGGAGCATGCCACATACCTGTTTCTATGCTACACTCTACAATCAGTTGATGACTGCGTTTTTAGGGGGTTTGTAGATTTCAGGGGCTGAATAATTTGAACGGTGCAGAGAACAGCACACGAACGCCCACACGTTTTATTTTTTTGAGCCTGTGTGATATATGGTGTTTGTATGGAACAACGGCTATCCTTTCTCGCTCTGTATCCGTGTGTGTTGCCCAGATCCTGTCTCTGCTCTGCCCTGTTAGTCCGCAGGATAGTGTCAGCGACGGAAGCGCCTCGGGGAAACCCGAAGCCTTAAGCCGGGAAACTTGAGCTTTGAAGCTCGCAGAGATGTTGTGAACGCACGACTTATTCAAGGCATTCTCAAGACTGGTTCGTGCTGTGCCTCGCTTTAATAACTTACACGGTGGGTACACGTTCTTTCCAATGATGTGCACTTGATTTATAGGTGGCACACAGGACCATTCAATACACTGGAAATGGGTTGGCTTATAAGTTCATGGGCCGCATGTCGCGGGTTCGAATCCCGGCTGCGGCGGCTGCATTTCCGATGGAGGCGGAAATGTTGTAGGCCCGTGTACTCAGATTTGGGCGCACGTTAAAGAACCCCAGGTGGTCGAAATTTTCGGAGCGCTCCACTACGGCGTCTCTCATAATCATATGGTGGTTTTTGGACGTTAAACCCCACATATCAATCAGATCAATAAGTTCATGGGCCAAACAACATTCCCGAGCTTCCAGCAAAGTTCATTTGCGGGGAAAATGAAAAAAAGTTTCAGGGGCCACGCGTCTGCTGAAAATAACTTGTGCTTGGAAGTGCAGAGAAAGTAACACACGCGTCTTGTATACATGTTTCACAATATAACATGAAGTATTGCAGTAATAATGCGTGGTACAAGCGTAAATTGACATCAGGCGTCACATGCGATTATCAGAACGACTTTATGGTTTAAAACCGGTCACCCACTACAGATGCACACACGTTATACTGTGTCTTAATTCTTTCAAGGCCACGTTTTCGTAACCAAAACGAAGAGATTCCTCCAAAAAGCTTTTGGAGCCCTAATTTTTCGTTGATACGGTCTCAAGTGTTAGGCCCACGGGCAGGCTTTATGCTCTCCCATAGTAGAGTACCCATTGCTCTTAATCGTTAACAACTTTTTTCTAAACGCATAGCAAATTCGAAAAAGATATCATGCACGAAGTGTTTGAAGGACGCACTATGAGACAGGATAACGTTATCGCGCCCAACTCTTAAAGGCGAAACGTAAGGGTCCCCCCCCCCCCCCGCCCTTTTTTTTTTACACATTTGAACAGTTATATTTCGTCTTTAGCTGACGTTAGCTGGATTTCGCGCGCTTCTGTAACAGCGCGACAGTGGCGAATCGCTTCAAATCTATTACATGTTCCAAGGACAGCGAGCACTAAGCCAGATGCTTTAAAATGAGAGGAAAAAAAAAAGAAAAGCGGAGTATAGAAAGCGAAGAAGCAAGCCCCACGTGCGGCTGCAAATCACGAAGCCGTTTCTTTGTGCGGGGGAGAGTTCGGCGGCGGCGCGACTAGCCTTGGTCGCTAATCCAGATGTTTTGCTCTTTCTGCTTTTTCTTTTTTTGCAATCTGGCGCGCCTTGGAAGTAGAGCGTGGCGATGTGGAGCCGAGAGTTATAAGGGGATGGGGCGGGGGGCGGCTAGTCGATTGGCGGGGATGGATGAAGGTCAGGGACTCGCGGACAGAGCGGCGGATGGCCGCTTCTATACCCTCTTCATCATCTTCGTACCACTCTCAACGCTGCTTGCCTACGGCACCGTCTATGATCTGCCGGCTGCGGTGGCGTTGAAGGAGAGGCGTTGCGTAATGCCACACACTCCGTGGTGCAGCGACTGTTACCAGTGCATGGTCTATCTGTATTACGGTGCACTCGCTTGGGCGTTAAGCGAAACGCTGCCTGGTTGACCTGTTACAGCAGCCTTACTGGTTTTATCCCTTAGACGGACATTTAAGCGAAGCAATGAGTTAGGTTAAATTGACGAAAATCCCTAGTGCCTGTAGTTTCATCACCATACGTGTGTTAATAAACGAGAAGAGCGCTAACAAAGAGAGAGAATCTAGATGGGAGCCGACAGATGGAAGCACGTCGTGGGATAATCAGGGTGAACAGTGGAAGTGCCTCAGATTACCAGGAAACAATGTCACGGCTAACACCCTTAAAACTAACACGCCGAAGATGACATAGGTCCTCCTATCGAAACGTCGGCCAGCCTGTCTGAGGCACTTCCACTGTTCACCCTGATTATACAAGAAAAAGAGAGAGATGAGTGCTAACAAAGAGAGAGAGGGAGAGAGAGTCTTTATTGTGACAGAAAAGGTGAGAGGTCGGCCTGGATCTGCTGCTGGGCGTTAGGAAAAGAGAAGAGGTGGTAAAAACCGGAGAAAGG